CTTTCCAGGTTTATAGTCCTGGGCAGTAGTAGATTCTGAGTTGTAGGAAGGAGTGTTTTGGTCCTTCGGCGCATCAGACGTTGTGCTGGGCTGGTCATCATTCCTTGTCTGGGTGTGTTTCTATAGTCGAGTATGGCGAGATATGGGTCGGTTCCAGCCCTGATTGACTTCTTCAGGATACGCTTGACTGTCTTCACCCCAGACTCGGCCTTGCCATTGGCCTTGCTATTTCCAGGGCTACTGGTAAGATGCTCAAAGTCCCATGTTCTGGAGAAGTCGGCAAATTCGTCAGATGTCAATTGCGGCCCATTGTCGCAGGTATGCCGTAGCGGGCAAAGTGACTCTTCAGGTTCAGAATGGTGGTACTGGCTTTGCTGTTTGGCAACCTGTCCACCTCCCAGAAATTGCCGTAATAGTCTATGGTGACTAGGTAATCCTTGCCATCAAGGGTAAAGATGTCTGTGGCAATCTTCGCCCAAGGACGAGATGGGACTTCGTGGGACATCAGTGTCTCCTTTGTGTGGGTAGTGCTGTCAAGTTCTCTACACGTTTCACACGCGGAGATGTACAGTTTCATTTCTGCAGCCATGCCTGGCCAGTAGATACATTCGCGCGCACGCCTCAGACACGCCTCTATTCCGAGGTGGGACGAGTGAATCTTCAGCTTCATATCCGCGCGAAGGCTCTTCGGTATCACGCCGGAACTCCCTTTGAAAACCATCCCATCTTGTACGATCAGCTCGTCGCGCACACTGAAGTAAAGGTGTGTCAGTGCTGGAGCATGTTCCTTGTTTTCAGGCCATTCTACGAGAATAGTCTCGGATAACTCTCGCAGAGACTGGTCCCTCCGGGTCTCTGCCCTTATTTCGTCTAAACGCTGGTCAGACATGGGCAGATAACGGACCATGTTGACTGATTCAAGGTCGTCTACTTCTTTGCCTTCGTAGGGCAGGTAAGCCCTTGACAGCATGTCGGCCAAATGCATGTTCTTGCCACGCTCATAGTGCACGGTGAAATCANGATACGCTTGACTGTCTTCACCCCAGACTCGGCCTTGCCATTGGCCTTGCTATTTCCAGGGCTACTGGTAAGATGCTCAAAGTCCCATGTTCTGGAGAAGTCGGCAAATTCGTCAGATGTAAACTGCGGCCCATTGTCGCTGATCACTTGATCAGGTATGCCGTACCGGGCAAAGTGACTCTTCAGCTTCACAATGGTGGTACTGGCCTTGGTGTTTGGCAATCTGTCCACGTCCCAGAAATTGCTGTAATAGTCTATGGTGACCAGGTAATCCTTGCTATCAAGGGTAAAGATGTCTGTGGCAATCTTCTCCCAAGGACGAGATGGGACCTCGTGGGACATCAGTGTCTCCTTTGCGTGGGTAGTGCTGTCGAGTTCTCTACACGTTTTACACGCGGAGATGTACAGTTTCGTTTCTGCAGCCATGCCTGGCCAGTAGATACATTCGCGTGCACGCCTCAGACACGCCTCTATTCCGAGGTGGGACGAGTGAATCTGCAGCTTCATATCCGCGCGAAGGCTCTTCGGTATCACGACGGAATTCCCTTTGAAAACCAGCCCATCTTGTACGGTCAGCTCGTCGCGCATGCTGAAGTAAGGGTGTGTCAGTGCTGGAGCATGTTCCTTGTTTTCAGGCCATCCTACGAGAATAGTCTCTGACAACTCTCGCAGAGACTGGTCCCTCCGGGTCTCTGCCCTTATTTCGTCTAAACGCTGGTCAGATATGGGCAGATAACGGACCATGTTGACTGATTCAAGGTCGTCTACTTCTTTGCCTTCGTAGGCCAGGTAAGCCCTTGACAGCATGTCGGCCAAATGCATGTTCTTGCCACGCTCATAGTGCACGGTGAAATCA